AAGTGCAAGCGAAATGCACAGAACCCATGATTTGTACAGCACTAGCATGGATGTATAGGACTGTTATGCCTCATATAAGCCTTAAGAACATGTATTTTACACAGACAGTTATAGTTGTCTCGGGAAGGCAACGCAGTCTTGTCATCAAAGCTGAAACCCTGCCTTCTTTGTGAAAATAGCCACTAGCAAACAAATGATATAGATGGCCCTTTTTCTGATCTTCTCACTGTGCTTTATTAACACATGGGTTGTGTTACCCCATACTGGATTTTAAGTCTTGTGCTTTATGACTCAGCTTTTTTTATATTGTATCATTTCCCATTCATCACATTTTCAGTGTTAATCATCAATTCTCTGTATAACGTTTCAAAGCATTGCAGATGCTATTGCTTAGTACTACATCTATCATTATAATGAGTCATTTTCCCTTTCCGTGTCTCATAAAATGACAAGAGGTTTTTGACGCAGAGAATCCAAATATCAGGATCCCTTGCAGGAAAACACGTACCAATTTCAACAGACATTCTGGAGATCACTTTTATTTCTGAAGGCATCAGTTAACTCAATATCCCTTGGCAAGTGCTATTTTCAGAAGGACTAGACTTTGCACTTTGGGAAGTTTTATAGTTAAAGAATTAATTATCCACGGGCGTCTGAAAATCTGTCATGGGGCAGATGGAGAAGCTTACTTCCTTATTTCTTGTCATTATTGAATGAGCTCAGTCTGTCAAGGTGATCTAGTTCCTGAGGGTGGCTTACACAAAAATACAGAATAAACTACTGACTCCAGATAGAAGGGTAGGAGAATTTATAATAAAGTACAGCTGTCCATCGTCAACCACATCTCCCATGCAGTTGGCAAAACCTCAGCTGGTAAATACTTGAGTATATGGGAAATAAGGGTTAGGTTCCCACAGTCCACGTTACTTGCATCAAGGACTAACGTAACACACAGATTTCTCAAGAGAAAATGACAGATACATTATTATGAAAGTAATATGTTGTAATTGAATTATTTAAGGACAAATGATTGAAAATAGCAAAGGGAATAAACATGCTTAAGAGAACACAGAGAGGTGCACAGGTGAGCCCCTAGCTGGGTGGAGGGTCGCCGGTGCATGAGTAAGGCAAGACAGTAACACAGGGTCGTGAGAGGGTGGAGACACATGCTTTTCAGACGTTTCAGTGGGCAGAACCATGTATGTGCAAAGGCTTTCCCATGGTTGGGAAGACTGGACCTCAATAAGGAAACAATGCATGAGCAAGGGTTGTCCCATGGTCTGGAAGACCTTAATATGGAAACCATGTGTGAGAGAGGGTTTGTCCAAGACCGCGATGACTGGACATATAAACCATGTAAGAATGAGTTCTGTGGTTGGTGAGGGAAAGCTGTATGGAGTCCTTTTTAAGATACATGCAAGATGACCTCGGAAAGATCAGGATGCTGTACTAATTAGAGACCTTTCCTGCTTTTCATTATTCCAGTCTCAGGGGTCATGTAGGTTACCTGAACATATCTCTCAGACACTGATGTAGAATGTGCTTAAGAAAAATGTTAAAACTATCAAATGCATCAATACATTTGCACTTCTGTCGCTCTTGATACAGGAAGCCAGGTCAATGACTTGTGCAGTAATGCTGTTGAAAGTCTGAGAGAAGGGTTTTGCATGTGGCAGAATGATTACAGGGCAGAAGTTGAGCAGTGAAACACTGTATGAGTGACAAATCTCCAATCCCACTAATAACACTGAAGTTTTTGGATGTTACAAGGTACAATGAGGCTTCCTCTGTTGAATTAGAGAGGACAAAAAAATCAATCTTGTTATTTGTTATGTTTTACAGACTATAAAAAAGGGGAAATATTATCTTTGTTAATGCTCTGCTTCACTTCAGATTTGTAAGGTCAGTCTTGATGGCCCTACTTTTTTTTCTTGGTCCTAATGTCAATTTTTGGTTTCTGTTGCAGAAGCTCTCATCCAATATCTTAAAGCGTGGATTAGATTAAAAATGTAGAATTTAAAAATGTCCTTGAAAACCGTGTAGTGTTTACATGTTACAGATGTTATTACAATTATGTTTTCTCTTTTCCAATTTGCTTGATATAGCAAACTAAGTTGGAAATTGCTGTTTTCAGAATAAATAATGTGATTGATCTGTGAGAGACAGGGAGGCTTTGTCTGATACCTGGGTATAAGAATACACAATTACATCATTGACTTTTTAATAGTGATTTAAAAACCATTAAGGGAACAGATTCCCTAATGAGTGTATTTAAATCTCACTTTGCAAATGCAATTCAATGGAAAACCACTTATGTGTACTATGTACAGAAGATATGAACTGATGGACATGCTAGTCAGATTCCTTTCAGTTAACCCAGATCTACTTTGGCCTGATATTGTGTTGGATTTTCACATTTTTCCAGTTGCTCACCAGACTCATCGCATGTTTATTTGTGGTTTCAAAGAAATTTTGTGTTTTTCAACTGAGCAAAGGGAAACTCCTATTGAGGATAATCTTGGGAATCCGGTTAGAAAAAAAGTCTTGATGCATGCAGGGTACATAAATCCAGTGTTTTAGTCAGTAGGTTTTCATCTGGCCAGATTACTGTACCCGTGGAATGTGAGGGTCAAACCATTTTCCATTTACTCTGAGAAGTGTGACTCCTCAGCATGAGGTGGCTTGACTTTGTTTTAAGTTTATCTGAGTGATTTTTATCTACAGCAGGTGAATCGGGTATTTGGTTAATTTGTGGTGGTGTGATTCTGCTCCCTTAGAATTAGTCTCCGAAGAGACTTTAAAAAGATTATCAGTCTGTCAAACCTATGAGCTTTGGATCCCACAGATTACCAGTGATTCTGTATGTTTACTTACAAGGAAAATTAAAGCAGATAAAGAGTTTCTGTGTGCAGATCTACTGTAAACAGTCTGCAAGTATGGAAAGCATTTTCTGCATTTATTTTGTTATATTGGGGTAATTTACTAAAATTCCGTATTATAAAGATATTAAGCAGCAATGTTTCTTCTGTAGGTTTCATTACCTTGGATTGTCCAATGTGTATTTGGCTCTGTCAGTTTTCTTTGTACATTGCCACAAAACGAAAGCACGGCTCCTTCCTGTCATCGGATAATTTTGGCTACCTCCAAAGTAGCGTGTGGCTTATTAAGAGTCTAATTCAAAACAGGTTCTGGGTGTTGAAAATGAAGTCTTTTACCAGAAAGCCATTAAACCTCAGGACATGCATGACAAATTAAGATAAGTGGCTCTGGTCTGTTACGGATGTTAGGAAAGTGGTAGATCAGTGAGCAAATGCAATGCGAATCGCAGCACATGGTACAAGCATTAAAAAGAAGGCTCCACAGCCGAAACGTTGTGTTTCCCTTCTTTTCTTTTCAGCATGGAATAAACCTGTTACCTGAAGAAATGTGTACAATAACTGCTGTAGTCGGTATATATTGCCTATCCATTCACACGGACCTGCGATCCTCGGTCATGTAAAACAGTCACCTTGTCTTTCATGTATCATCCAATTTGCGTGCAGGCTGAGCCAAAGTGTTAGTGAAGAAGTTTGAGTTTGGGACAGTGATCATGCCAATCTCAGATGCACCTGATGCATCTGCTGCCCTAATTTAATGTGTCTTGTCTGAGGATAGCAGTGAGCATAAGCAACTGACATTTAGGGTTTCCCAGAAAAGACTCCCTTGTCTTCCTTCCTTCAAATACAGGCAACCCACAAAGTGGGTAGAGCAGCTTCTCACCAGGACTAAAAGGAATGGCAAGCTTGTTTGTGTTGTTCACTGAAAAGCCCTGCAGGTTCATTTTGGCATCAGCATTAAGAGCTAGCAGGAGAGAGAACGAAAGTTCTTTGTTGTCTCAGTTTCTTTTTGAGTCACAAGTTTGTTAGTATATCTGCACAGGAAGTTAAGAGTTAATTATTTTTCATCCTCGAAAGTGTGGGCTGCTGTCTTTTGCTTTTGTTTCTGGCAATTCCTGGTACTTACGATAAAGGGAAAGGAATAGGATAGTAATTGAAGACAGACATGAGGTTTTTGGTAAAAGAACACTATTAGTATGCTTGACCTCCAAGTTACCTTTTGTTTGCATGAGTTCTCCTGATGTTCCTCCTAAACATTAAACAGTGCCCACTAATTTGGGAATCAACATTCCCCCTTCAGTGTCTGATCTTCATTTCTGCTCAGGCTCAGCAATGCGTGTTTTTTACAATGCAAAATAATGGTTTTTGTATGAACCAAACATATGTGATTTACATCAAGATTGTTTATATCTGCTACATTATTATATATTGTAACAAAATAAGAGAACAAAATGATAAATTGTGTGTATTTGGGGCTTAGAGTAGGTTAATACTGCTGTGAAAACAGCATAGACTTTAACACTGCTCAAGGTATTGATCACACTTTGCACTCCACTGAAACAGTTCTCATTTATTGTTTCTGTGGAATTCTCAGTGGTTTCCATTGTAATCCGCATAATCTCATCGGAAAACTCTCTGATCATTGCATATTGCTGGCACGAAGCAGTGGTGTGGTTTAACTTCTCCTGAGAAGGCTAGTGAAGGACAGCGAATGGCAAACAAAACAGAAAGATGGATTGTGATGCCAATAACTCTTTCTTCTTCCTGTGCTGTCAGGTAGATCTGATGTCTTTCTTCAGAAAGCAGATCCTGTGAAACAATGTGCCTGCAAGAGACTTTGCCACATGATTGTAAATGCAGGCAGGATCTATTGATCATTTAGAATTTAGTCTGGCTTGTGTTGTGGATCTCATGGGTTTGAATTTAACCTTTTAAATTTTTGCTTTGCTATAGTCGCTTTTATTGTCATTGCCTGGGGGGTGGAATCAGGCAACAGCAATGAAAGCACAATCAGTCAGACAAAGCAAAACTTTCTTAGTAAATTAGTTTTCCTTTTGGTTCATTTTTAGCTACGCCGTTTGGGCCACAAAGTGAATGATCGTGATTTCTGTCTTGTCTCCACAGATGTGATTGAAGGAGAGGAAGCCCAGAAGCCTGCCATGCGTGTTTGTGTTAAAAGAAGCCCGTGAAGACCCTTTTGCCTCAGAACAAAGTGCCGCTTGGGGATCCAAGCCCAGTGCTGAGCAGTACCGAGATTCAATTATTTCTGGGAACGAGCTCCCATATCTGGGGAGATTGACACATCTGCAGCTCTGCTCTTGGGTAGCCATGTGGATTATCGGTGCCCATCCGTTCTTTCTGTGTGCCACAGCTCTATTTGCAGTCATCCATGCAGCTGCTGCAACAGATCTGGACATCACCCCTCGCATCAGCTTTCTGTACAGTAAGTAAAAGTCCCACTTGTACCCTAACGAGGCGGAGAGAGCCCTGCTTTCCTGATCAGAGCACACCACGTGCTGTAAGGATTCCATGAGTTGGAACCTCTACTCTACCATTTTTTTATTTTTTTGATGCCACTTTCTGCAACTTTGTTTACATGGAAAGACTCTTAATAGCCCCAGAGGCCTGCCAGCTGGGGTGAATGTTATAATATAAATCAGAAACACAGCAGTCGCCTGCAATCGCGTGTGTGCAGGAAAGGGAGAAATAACTTTAGAAATGTACACAAGAAACCACAAGAACATCTTTGTTGTCTTTTAGAGTCTGCAGTTGCTGCTGACCTTGGCGTGCTGGTTATCAATTTACAGGACGCTCCATAATGCCACTTGGTTTGGCTGTTTTCTTTTGTTTTTTGATCTACAAATAAAAGCAGCTTGAGTTGACCCTAGTTGTCTGAGGTGATGGAAGCTCTCGTCTTGCCTGAGGCTTATACAAGGCTCAGTGATTTTCCAAAGCCCTACCGCTTGTTGATAAACGGTAAAACGATCCTTGGGCTGTAGCAGGAAAGCCCCGGGAGAAAGTTGTTTTGGGTTTTTCAGTAGCTGGACTCGTGGCTGTGTCTTAACTTGAAGTCCTAGATTCTTTTATCCAGTGATTAATCTGCTATGCTAATTAAACTGGAAATAAATTGAATTAAATTTGACCTTCTAAAAACACCACAGGTCCCAGTCACAGCTCAGGGTCCTATGGCTTCCTTTTCAGTTGATCATCAGGAAATAAGTGAAAGCTGCTACAAGTAGAAACTAGTGCTGCATTAAGACACATCCAGTTTTGTCTTGAGTAAGTTATTTATAACCCTCTCAGTCGGTGTCACCAGTGTAGTTGGTGCTCTTTTTTTAATCTCTTTGGGTTTTCCATGTGCGTGACGGCGTGTCACCATGTGTGAACAGGTTGCTTGTGTCACTGGTTTCACCCACGCAAATGGGCGCAGCCAGGCAGGTGTTTTGGGATGTGCAGCAACCATTTAAAAACAGCAGTGCTATGTTGGGATACTGGCACATATGCTCTATTAAATCACCTCCCAGCACTGTCAAATAGATTCCCAAGACCGGGTTCATGCCAGCTTGACTAAAGTGAAAAATCTTGTTTTATTTATTTATAACTCACTCTTTCCATTTAAGTGTGTTACCTTGGTGTAGAACAACACTTGGTGCTGAGCCAAGAGAACCTCTGTTTTTCTTGGCTGGCTGACAGATGTGGTTTGTTTTCAGGTTTTAACGGGTGGTTGTTAATGCCAAAGGTATTAGGAGAATTGTTTTCTGAGTAATTGAAAACAATGGGGAGCAGTAATTGTAAACATCGGTCGGTCTTGCACAAGAACACCATGTTATGTCTCTGACTGCCGGCGTTGTGTTTACAGGGTTTTAAATTATGTGGAATCTCTTCTCTCTAGATCGACTAATGTCATCGTTTAAAAAAGACTAAAAAAGGCCTGATATCTCCCTCCACCACCATCTATAGTTCACTTTGACTGTCATTCTGAAACACATGTGACTTATTATCATCAGCATTATCATATGTAGAAAGTTCACAGAGGTGTCAACATAGCATTTTTCATTATATGGAAGCACAGTTACAGCATTTGAAAGTCCTGTTAATTGATACTGTAGATGCACTGTGGGACTTGATACTCATGTAATTGGAGACAGGTAGTGACGTATGGCTGTAAATTACTGCTAATTTGCGATAATTAAATCATTCAGCAAGTGTGTGTGTACGTCATCAAGGTAATTCTTCTTCATGAAAAAGGTTGTCCATTCTTCAGGACTGTTGCTGATTTTGCTTGTAGATTTGCAGTAACCATGTAAATCTCAAAGCTCAGCAAATATAGAACCACATGTGCTGTGTCTGACCTGCTAAAGGAGCTTTGAAGTGGAGTGAGCTCAATGTGTGGTGATCATTTCTTTCTTTCTGAGCCTGCAAGTTTTTAAACCCATCACCGCATTTCAGGTAGCACAGCCTGTCTGAGCATGATTGCGTCCTCCTTGAAGATGTTTATTAATCGCAATCTCACTCACCTGCCAGCCTACACAAGGAGCCTACAACACCGTCTTGATTAAGCACTTCAGAGAAAATACAAGCCGTCCATTACAAGAAGACCCATAAGCCCGAACTTTGTATCTACATTAAATGGCTGACATAAATATTTGCATTAGGCTGGGGCCTATAGTACATCTTCTTCTACATGAAATTAATGCAAAGCAGAATGGAACTGCTAACATCAATACAGAAATACATATCGGCAGGTACCTTTAAATAGGATCAATCAGAGATAAGATGTCAACTCTGTTTATTTTTGTGATGTTTCTTCAGAAAACATATTTATTCTAACCAGCCTGAGATTAGTTCTGTAATCCTCAACTGCAGCGTGAATCTCACTGTGGCACTGCGGATATGCTGCACAGCAGGACATGGCAGGGGATGTGATGAGGCTGTCAGAATGACAAGATGGGCAGAAGGTGGGGTTTACAGGGTGAATGACAAAAATGTGACTTGCTAACACAGTGTTTATTGTAGCACAGCCTAGACTTTTCAGTGAGCATGCCCTTTATTCTGAAGGTACAACATGCAGCCAATCACTTGCTGGTCCTGGGGGACAGGACCCCAGGACCCCAGGACCCCAGGACCCCAGGACCCCAGGACCCCAGTAATTCAGCAGATCACTTTCGTGCTATGAAACAATTAAAACGTGTCTCCCACCCTCTCTGATTTACCCCAGCACCAGGACTATGGACAGGCCACGTGTGGAAGTGAGGAAGACACTGTGTTATCAGGTCGCGTGTCCTGCTGCTCCTGATTACCTGAAAGAGCAGTATTGGTGAGCCTCTATAGGAAGCAATATCACCTTCCTTGTGAGGACTCCCACTCCCAATGAAAGAGCTAATCTTTCTTGTATAATTAATGGAGATTTAGAGGGGTTATATTGATGTGCCTATCAGACAAGACTCCAGGGACTTCATACTGTCCACACACTGATGGGAGTGGGGCTGATCCATTTTTATCCTTCTGCCCTTTGACCTGTCTGTGTATTTAACCTTTTAATGGGCCATTTAAAGGGTTTTTAATAGATGAAAACAAATACTTTAATTTAAAGTGCAGTTCAAATGACAATGCTACTGATTCTATAGTCAATACCACCAATTCTTTTTCTTCTTTATACGTTCTGCTTTTTGCCTTTATTATTTAGACAGAGGTATCAGATAAAATCAGACATCAGGAGTTAAGCAAGGTTGGGCCATGTCAGTACTGGGGCTAGAGCCCTCCAAGAAAAAACAGGTTTCTATTGCTAATGGTACCGGTGGACCAGTAGGCATCCCTTTCCGCTTTGGACCAGAATCTCCACATCAGTGCTCCAGTATGGTACCAGGGAACACCGGGCTGTAGGAAGTATTGTCTTTCAGATCCTCAGATATTTAACTCATGACATTTAAGTCATGGCTACATGATTATTAAAGATCCAAAGGCATTTTTCAAAAGAGTAGGGGTGTTAAGCCCATTATCCTGCCTTAATTTACTATGTGCTTGTGCACCTGAAGCCTACCCTAATGTTTCCCCTAAATTCAATTGGTGGAGCACGTCTCATTGATCGTCTGTGCAGTGAGGCTACTGGTGCAGAGCAGCTGCTGTGTGTCACCCAGGCTGTTGCTGCACCTCGGTGGGGAAAGAAGGGAGTCCCCTCCTGTATGGGGCGTACTTGGGGTCCTATGGTTTGAAACCCTAAAGAAATGAAGTTATTATTTCACTCATAATGCACCTGCTATCAATGAATTTCAATTTTATATTTAACATATAGAATCATGATCTGTGTAACAGTAGATCGTATAATCATAAATGGAAGTTAATGGAAAACAATAGTCTTAAATGAAGTGTCAGTGTGTATTCTCTATGCACTGACCCTCTAACACTCCTGTCGGCATGGAGCACTGGGTCATGACAGAGGTTTAGACATGCACTGTTGCCTGTCAAAGAACTTGGGACAGCACACGTGCTGCCTTTGAAAACCTGCCAGGCCCCCTTAGACAAAGTGTAGAAAAGTATCATAGAGTAGAATATACCTCCTAAAAAGCTTTGGAAACTTTTCTTTCCAATTGTGCTGAACCTGCGCAAAGTCTAAGAAATTGTAGACCCTTTAAAACAAGGGTATTGCATTCAATATTACATGTATCGTAAGGAAACTTGCATGAAAAAAGGTGTATAAGACAAGCCAGAGACACCAAGAAAGGAAACGGACTGCTTCACACTGAATTAAGCTCTTCTTTTGTATTAATTTGTTAGGTTTTCTATTTCTAATTTCTCTAAAAAGACACTAAAAGAGCCACAAAGTATTCTATAGACTGACTTTAATATAGAGTAATATGTATTTCAGTGTTTTTCAGAAGTATAAACTGTTATAGAATTAGTATAGTTCTCATATTCTGTAGTTATGCAGTTTCCATAATAGTAATTATATATTTGTTCAGTTTTCTTAGCAGTAAAGAAACAAGCAGAGGCTAAAATAAGACCACTAAAAGAAGAAGATACTTTGCCTGTGGAGCCTTCAGCTGTTCTGTTTTTTCTTCTTTCTTTGTGCTTTCCGGCATGAAATGAACCTGTTTATTCCCTTGCACTCACGCAGCAGCTTCTCAGTAGTAGTTCATGTTCAGACAGAGTTTACAAGAGTGACACACCACTTGGCAGTAGGACAGCAGGAGTTGTATGTTGTTTTAATTTGTGGCTGCACGTTTTTTCTTGTGTGATGAAAGCACGGCTTAAGTTGCGCATATCCTGGTTTTCATGTGAGCTGCAACTGTCTGAGAAGTGACCCACTTCCCGCTGCCCAAACAAATGGTCATTTATGATAGGCCTTATTTACTGACCTTCATCATATACAGGTTCCATCATTGAACCAATGCTTATAAAAAAAGCCTTTTCCAATCATTTGGATGAGTTCATGCTGAAATTTGT